AATTTTTCGGATAGCTATATTTAGGGCATCGTAAATCTGAAACCTTTTTAAATAATACGTAAATATTTTAACCATTTTTGTTTATTTAACTGATAACGGTCACTCGCAATGGATTTTATAGTTCAATATATACTTATTTATTGCTCAGTATCATGGGATGGAAAACATAATTTTCTTTGTTAGACCACCACTTATTGAGACTGTGAAGTAGCTGCGCCAGTGGTTCTCGTTTTTTTTCTACTGCTGGAATTTAATGAAGAAACATGAAAATGAGTTATTTCGAGAAAGAAAATGTTTATCTGTTACTGATTCCTTGTTGTATTAAGTTAGTGAGCTATGGTATCTGTCTTGTTTTCTCTCTAAAATCTTCACGTTAAACAATTTGAACTTTTCTGTTTGTCGAAAGAAAAAAAAATAAGATGAAAGTAATCATATGATCCTAGCATGATTTCTGGAAACCAACAAATAGACTGGTAGGTTGTTGTTAACTTCTGTTATTTGGATTCTGTATCACTGAACTACTACAATTCTACTGATTTGAAAATGTACCCTCATAATACCATTACTATTCAAGGCTACATAAAGGATTCGCTCGTTTCGACCTTATTTTATTGCTTTAAGACTAGCTCAAGTACATTTCCAAATCTCTGCTTCATATCCAAAAACTCAGGTTCTGTTAGTTGGTCCAACATTTTAATATCACGATTTATAGCTTTTCCACAACCTGTTCCGGTCACTATTCTTTGTATTACGTATAATGCACAACTACTTCAGCCAATGAATGAGGTTCCATCTTTCTGATTCCCAACTAGCCAAACTGTACATTGGCGGTTTTGGTTGACAAGTAAATGTTGGTCCTCAGTAATGTCATCTACACTACGTTACTTGTAGATTTGTTTTGGCCGACATTTTTAGTGTCTAATCAGGCTAATGAATAAACTTTGAAGTAGCAGGAAAAGGATTACTAATCTTTCCTAACCACCGCTCATATGAAGAGTTATTAAGGGATCTTGGTGGCTAAATACATTTCGACAGGAATACAAAAAACCTGTTCGTCACTCATTAACCTACATCAATTATTATCACAAGCAAGTATCCATAGTCCTAATATATGGATTTATTTAGTCCATAGTTGTGTCTTGCTTTGGAGCGAAGAAATAAATGGCGTCATAAGGTTACAGATATTCAGTTATAAATACTACAACACCCACTTCTGTACAAAAAAGCTATATAAGTGATTTGTTGAGCATTGGTCTATTTAATCAGATTTTAGGCACACTGTGTAGAGTCATAAACTACTGCACGGTTGCCCAAAACGGTAGATATAGTGGGATGCGGCCCTATAACCTACCAAGTAGCTTGACCTGTAAGTCACCGTTACACAAAAGGTTAGGCGACTGTGGTAAGCTTATGACAACTCATGTTTGGAACATGTATCAGACATCGAATCTCTGTCTTCGATGGGTAGCACTTTTTAAGGTGAGATGAGGTTAAAGTAGGTAAAGATGACGTCAGTTCATTAGGCCACTGACAGTAAACCTGTTGTGTTCGGAGATGCTTTACATGGTGAGCCGGTGGGTTGGTAGTCTACCAACCTAAATGGCGTCGTTAGGAAGTGGCATCCATAGTATAAACGGCTCTACTTCCCATTCTTATTTTTCAAAGTCCCAGCTTTGTATCCGTGTTTAGTAACATCAATGTATGTTGGTTTGATGTAACGAAATATACTTATATTCACAGTTAATTACTCAAATTGGTACCCTCAGTAGTCAACTTAATGTTGTGTACCTAGTACGGACTAATGAGACTATTGCTTAAACCGAATTAGGTAAAATGAAATTAAAATCTATGAACAACTGTTTGAAATATAAACAACTGCACCACCGGACATTTTTCATTACCATTCCACACCAATTATATACATTGATGGTAACGTTCAAGGTGCTTCGTTCTCACGTAAAACAGTTGGTCCTATAGGGATACAGTGTAAAGTGCTAAGATGTGTTTATTTGCCATCACATCTCAAGCTTCGCTTTTGTACTGTGGTTGTATTTTAGGTAAACGAATTTATCTAAATTATTCATAGAGTAGCATCTATCAGTACATGGGACCACTCTTGCACATATAAGGTCACGCTATTTCGGACTTACGGTATTTCTGCAATAAAGTTGTCAAACATCGACCTACTGATTCTCTGATTGTCAGTTAGGAGTGACACTAGTAAAAATATACTGTTAACCTATCTTGCCACTCCCCTGTGGTATACTGCTACTAATTGCTGGCTGTCCCATATTAGCTTTGGTCTCACAAAATACTTTATTTCTTTGTGGGGCACCTTCCACATCAAAATTGGTGGCGTCGTGGTAGTAGATATGGGAGTAAATCATAATCATTAGATGTGACGTATATTCTTTCTTATTTAGTTTTCTCTTCACTCTATTTATGAATTCATCTTTAAGTACAAGCAGGTAGATTTTCTGGGAAACCATCCAGTTTTGGGACAAGACATAGACCGAAGGATGGTGGGAGGTTAGACACAAGTTTCCTTGATGAACTAAAACATATTTACAAATTCAGAGATACATGTTCTATTTCCAGAATCTTCACATAATATTGTCTGCGCATTAGGCACTTATAAACAAATCTTGAAAAACCTTGACGCCAGTAGTTTCATTGTGGGTTGCTATCTGTCTAAACCACACTTCTCAGTAATTTGGATCTGTACATATCTTCAGTTTTGAATGATGTGCACCCACTTAAAGTAGGGGAATTAGTGTTGCAACTAATCACCATCCGCCAATTTTAAAGCGTATAGCCTGGTCTTCGTGAATTCGCCATTCACTACTAAACACTATTGTTAAAACGGTTCATCATCACATGTTACAAGCTCTACATCGACTGTATTAGCACTGCATTCCTTCATTGTATGTAAGGAATATCTCGTATACCCTTGATTTTACGACGAAATTATCACCGCGGTCAACATAATCTATACGCGTTGAAATTTATTTAAGGCAATAATTCCTTATAATTCATTAAAACAGAGCATTTTTTCATCATTTTGTGGAGCCTTAACAATTAAAAAATTAAGAGCGAGTATCTCAAAACTTTGATGCTAAAGTAAATAGTAAAACCAACCACATTTTTGACGCAATAATGTTCCTCACCGTTTGGCTACTTATTATCTTATATATTCATTTGCAACGTTCATCTTTTTAAGGAATATATCATCTGGTAAAGAACTTGCTACTCCTGGTTTCAGCCCTCAACGTATGCCAGTTTTCACGCCGAATCTGTTTGCTCCTGTCCGCACTCCTAGTCCTCGTCACTTCCGCCCAGAAAACGACACTTTACGCGCTAGGGGGATGCGTCCGTTCAACATGGTTCCTGGTGAGCAGATGCCTCAGAATGTGTATCCCAAAAATGACCGATGCTTCCCTCCACCGACGCCTTACGGCCCTGTACCATTTCAGTCTCAGCACGTCATGCCTAATGCAACATGTCCACCCACAGTTAACGGATTTCGCCCCCCGTCACTGCTTGATACACCCCTTAGATGTCCACCTTCAAGAATAGTGCCTCCGCGAATGCGGATGATGGATCCTGGAAGTATGAGGTTTCCTAGGTTTAGGCCTAGATGTGAGACATTTTATGGGGCTGGAGTAAGGCCCTCTCCACCTATTCGACCGACTTTCGATGCAGTACATGAAGAAGCCATAGTTAGTTCGGAACTCGACATGATGGCAGCTCTTCTTGCTTCAAGTAAAACGACGAATGACGACTGTAAAAACGGTTCAACTGTCCCTCCTTCGTCACCTACATGTGTAGGTGAACATAGCCTGCAACTCGAGAGTGCGAGTCCCCCGCAAGTGAGTTATTTAATCCAGCATATTTAGTGATTGATTTGATTTAATGTATCTGCACCTAGTATTATGTTGCATTACAAAGCAGATAGGATACTTTGAAGCATATCAGAAAACTGCCATTTGAGGTGTCCCTGGTAATAAATATTCGGAAATCAACACCTGGGACTTATATTGAATTTGATCTACTATGATTCACATTGGTCCCGCCATAAAACCTGTTGCGAAATTAGTACTACATACTTTGAACTTGTAGCTAATAATAATTTGTCAGTGATGTGAGTGGTTTCCTTGTTCAATAGGTGTTGACTTACATTTCACTAAATTAATTTTTATGATGAATTTTTTTTCTTCTATAATTTTAGCCTTCGGAAACCGAGACAGAAGCAATCCCTCCTAATATCTTGGTTGAAGATGGATCCACACTTGAGTTTAATACGACTACTCAGATAGGTGTCCTTCCATCCCAGGGCCCAGCACCTTGGCGCCTCATTCCGTTGGACATGACTGTCAAAATTCCTTATCCGTTAATGCAGCTCCCTGTAGATGAATTGCCATATCGTTTTGAAGATCCAAGGTTGCGTGGCCAAGTGACAACATTCAGACTTCAACCTCCATCAAAACCTTCGAGTAGTAGTGACTTAGAAAATTCAAGGTGCAGTGATGAACCAGAAGCACTAAATCACAACGAAACCAATGCCATTGGAACCAACGATGATAATCCAGGTGTTTTAACACAAAGGCGACCCATCAAACTACAGTTGCATGAAATGGCTAACACCTTTGCTAATACTTCATCCGATCATTTACATGTATCTAGTCGGCAAGGTGATCGTTCTTATCTTGATGACCCGCGATTCCGAAGGCGAAGGATTATGGTTCCAACACCAACCTCCCAGTCAGCTTCGAACGTTCTCAATCAAGATAACACAAACAGTACACCACAAACTACACAAGAATGCTCAAACTAATTTATTTAAGATCTCTACCAAGCACTATCGTGCATGTAAATGAGTCCCAGCTTTATTTATTCCAATAATTTATTAAAATCGTCAACATGTACATAAATAAACCAACGTTTGAACAGATCAACTTCGAACAAGTTTCAGCCGACATGTTTGTCCATATTTTATTCGTCTAAACTTCGAAACTTCCATATTGACTATTCCATTTCAGATACTGTTCCAGATCACTGGACGAATTACTTGCTCTAACTTGTCTGAAAGCAGCATGAAAGTCAGTTAATTCGACTGGTCTAACCTTAAAAAAGGAAAGATAAAATTGTCTGAATATTTAAGGTGGCAATGTCAAAATGTTTGTTGTATCACCATATAACTAATACTAATAGGTTTAAGATGGAACGAGAAGTGTCAGAAACAGATTTAGAGAGGATAGTAATTTTTACTGATAAACAGAGGTTATTTTAAGAACCAGATATTGTGACTTTAAGCGTTTCACTTACTTCGTCGCATGCTATATGTTGTATTGCTTCTATTGTCAGAGAGCGTATAGGTCCCATTGCAGCTTCTCGACAGAGATTTGCCATGTCTGCTCCGGAATAACCTTTTATGTTTGGAAAACACGATTAGTCATTTGTGTCATCATCAAACAGTCTTGCAAAGGATCATCATATTGGATAAAATAGAGATGAACCTTACTAATAGTAAGTCAATCGACATTAAGTTGTAACATATAAATAAGCAGCACTTACCATCAGCACGATGGGCAATGTCCCAAAAGTCGTCCTCTTTTAGCGTGTGATGATTTTGTCGCAGTAATCTTTGTACTATTTCCTTTCGCGCACTCCTAGTAGGTAATGGGATATACAATCGCTTGACAAACCGCCGTCGGGCGGCCTCGTCAAGTTCCTGAGGTCTGTCGAATTCAGTAAAAAATATAAGCGGATACTGTTTTAGAAGCGTCAAATATATTTGGTCCGTAGAGTTGGAAGTCTACAACTTGTTACATATACTTTCTGGGAATGTGTTTAGCAGCTTTATTAGTCCAAGGAAACAAATAACATCACATAATTATCATCAACATAGTTACGTACATATGCAACATTTACGAACAGTGGTACGTAACGACAGAGTAATTATTTTCTATTTACGTCCTTTGATTTAAAGTGACTGGTAGTGCTTTATTTTATAAATGTAACTGTTGTGCTCTTTTGGTATGAGCAACGGGTGCATGAAATTTAATGAAGCTAAATTTGGTCAGGATACTTAATGGTCATTAAGGTTGTGAACATCCCATAAACACTTAGGCATATTACTGTAAACAATATATATATATATATATATATGTACCTGTTTGTGGCTCCAATGAAAAGTATGCGTTCATCGTCATTTGTTGTTATTCCGTCCTAAAACAAAAATCGTGCGTCTGAGATGCGCTAATATGATTGAGTAGCTTAGAGAAATACCGAGTTAGTGAACTCACTAGCTGTACTAAGAATTCGGTTTTGATCCGTCTGCTTGACTCATGTTCTGTTTCAGAGCGTTGGGTAAGTAGAGAATCAACTTCATCAATAAAAATGACAGATGGTTGATGAATCCGAGCAATTGAGAACAATGCACGCACTAATTTCTCACCTTCACCAACCTAAAAACAATACGATAATAGTTTTTCAAGTTTGGTAAGTTGGGAAAAAGTAGTATAATAGTCTCTTTGTGAAAAGCACGTTTTTACTAAAGCAATAAAAGTAGCAATTATAAGGTAGAGAATGATTTGCTTACCCATTTTGAAGTAAGAGATGAAGCGCTGATGCTGAAAAATGTCGAGTTACTTTGTGATGCAATACATTTACCTAAACTCGGAAAGAAATTTTTGTACTTAACTCCAACGTAAGTTGTGTCAGCGTTTATTTATGTGTGATGACACTCACAGTTTACGCTTGCCTTCTTTAAAGTTGACTATCTCAGTAAAAACACTAATTATGCATAAATTTTGGCACTAAATCTTTGTCAGGTAATAAGACCATCCAACTTAGATGACCTTTCTCATCATGGAGTAGTAAAGTGGATTAAGCAAGCACTCACTGTGAGTGTCATATCATAATAATTGAGTACAATACAAAAGTGTACTTTAATTTTTCATAACCTAAGACGTACGTGTTCAAAGCAAACTTACCGATCAAAGTTTTTCCCGTCCCAGGAGGGCCAAAAAGAAGCAAGCCCTTTGGAGGTCCACGAAGCCCAACGAAAAGGTCGCTAAAGTTGAGAAAGGCGGTACAGGACGGTTGATAATATACAAGAAACAAGACATTCTTAAATTTTAGCAAAGTTGGGAAAAGTATCCACAAGTTTATCTATATACCATTAGACGATGTTTATTGCTAGGGTGTGAAAATTGTGTCCTATCATACCCAGGTTGCTTGAATCACAAGTGTGTTACCAACTTAAAGTAGATTTTCACTTCGAATCAAAGACTCACGTCGCGAAATAAAAAAAAAGCCACAAAGTTTTAGAATGTTTCCAGTAAACACTAGTCACATAAAATGCAGTATTTCCTAGAACTTGTGGAAACGATTGCAGGAATATACTGTCCATAACCGGTTTAATTCATTAAGTAGATTATTTTTTTGTCGGACAGTTTCCGGTTAGTAATTTGCCTCATTATTATCCACTACTTTACTACAGTTGTCCGATTTCAATATCGGTAACAAAATAAATTCACTTATTTATATAAGATTTGTGTGATAACAGCGTTCGTAAACGTAAACAGTAGATTACGAAAATTAGTGCTGGTTACAAAAGTGACTACATTTCCCAATCAGAAAAAGGATAAATAGTTCATTAGACGGAGGAAGAAATGTCACGAATGGTTAGCCTAAGACTTAAACATCTAACATTATCCATTATTCATCAAAAAGTGTTATTATCTGTAATGGTCAACAAGTTTTCTAGTATTTGAAAATACAGAGGTAACAGAAAACCTTGTTGCAGTACGAAAAGGCTTCTTGAGAATTTTCTGAACGAGCGACCATGTGATAGCACTGCAGAGACAGTGCGACCAACTGACTTCATATAGCACGTGGTGTCGGATATAACAGAGCCTTCCTAATTATCTTATCTTTTCCTGAAGCGAAATTGTATGATACAAAATGGTCAACTCTGCTGTTGAAACCTCTGTTTGGTTGGGAGGTATAGTCATATTGAGAACTACCATTATATCAATGTCATTTAACGTGAAGTCTGTTAAAGACCGGACGAAGTAATGTCTATACTGATATATTCCCATTTTTCAGATAATTAAATCATTATATTTCATGAATTTTGTTCAGTTACTATGTAGGTTGACCGTTGTTCCGATATACTTCATAATTTTATCAATGGACAATGAACTCCTGTTATACTAAACAGCTTTTTATGTCTAGAAGACGAGTGTCGTTTTACAGTAAAGCTTTCCCTTATTACATTTGTCCATACATATAATCTAAAATCCTTATTTTTCCCTTAACACCAAAACTTTTAACTAAATGTATAGTATATTATTATTTGACTACTAGGACAGACTGGACATTTTTCAAAGTGTGTATAAACTTAGTTTACTGATATTTGCATTTCAGTGGTTGTTAAGCTATTAAAACAAAGATGAAACATTTATCGTAAACACTGAGTAATCATACAAATGACGTCAATATTGTAACGTGCCCACAAAAAGAGTGATTCTCATACAACTTTTGTGCTGAAATATCCAGCTGATTAGTTTCCCTATCGATTAGAAAATTATCTAAATCATACATTATGCCACTTATACTTCTACCGATGACGAGTTATGGTGGTAGCGAACATGGCTAGTAAAACTTTTGTAAAGCGAATGTCCGGCGCTTTAACCGGGTTGATGGACACGGAGAGTCCACCTAGTGGAGTTGGAAAACCCTAATCCTGAACCCTTGGTGCATTTGGCTCCAGTCCCCTGAGGGAACAAATGGCATATGAACCAATCGTTGGTTACCAGCTACCATGGGACTGAATCTCCTTACGATGCTCCACTGCCTTGTGGATCAGACTTTTAGGTCGTAGGCTCCGGGTGTGGCTTTCTAAGAAAATCACCTGCTTTGGTTTTGGCACCCAGGTAGTATCACAGCCCTCACACAAATCAAGTGAGATTTGTGTGGCGCATATGTATTTGGTGCCCCCTTGTACCAATATCTATGTGTTCAAATAAATAAAATTTGTAAACTGCCACTAAGTTTGATAGAATCCTATGGATTCACCCAAACGAATATGGCTTATGTATGAGACAACTGGATCTTCTAAGTTCTTTACGTAATCCTGGCATATTCAGGTGATAAAAGACAATGTATTTGGGTTTCAAGTAAAAGATGTATAGGTATATATCATGACTCACGGTCTAAGCATTGGAAGTATTACAATTTCCTGCAGTGTTTTCTTAGAAAATTCAAGTCCAGCAATATCATCCCATGTAATTGAACTCTTGGAATCCATTATCTATAATGACATAAAATAGGAATTGCAACATCACAAATTTGACATGAAATCTCGAAAATAAAACTCCGAATCAAGTACTTTGTGTGTGCATATTGATGATAAGTTCGATCACGGAGCTTGTGTTTATTCCATGAACAATTTAAAATTTTAATTATGATATGATTCGGATAAATATAATCTGGGATTAAATCAAATAATGAGACCTGACTACTTAAATTACATAAATAATACCAGTCTGGCATTATAATCATACCATAAAGCACGTATTAATACACGATATTTTTTAAAAGTAACATTACTACGTAGTATTTTTCAGGCCTTACACTCGTCTGTTGATAGTGTTATTGGTCTAATGTAATAAAAGTCATTATGAAAACACCAAAACTCTCACTTGTATTATATAATTATAGCTGCAGTTGTGAATCCTTATTTGTTCCTATTTAAACTAAAATGCTGACATTCAGTCTAATTTCTAAAATGAACTTTTTAGTTATCAGATGGTTCACATTGTTAAAAACAATAGATATGACAGACAGAATTAACATATGTGTATTTTCTATGGTACTTTCCGTAAAAAAATAAGTAACAGTAGGTAGGTGGGAGACAAAATTGATTCTTCCGTAGTACACCGTAAACAAGTATATGTACCGAATATAATCTTAAACAAGTTTGTGTACAGATGATCATATTACGTTTAATATATGAAAAGAAACTGAGCGCTACGTGGTCATAGAACTTGAGTACGACAAGTCAGTAAAAAAGTCTTCTTGAGTTCATAATAGTTTCATTGGTAGCAGAACACAAGACAAGATTGAAATAGATAATCTCTGAGGTTAAATTTACCTAAAACACTTAAGTGGTCTATTTAATTTATAAATAAGTCCCCAAGCTGCTGCTTTAAAAGTTATTAAATTTCGACCATCTGACCTAAATAGCGTCTGTGTTGATATGGTGTGGATAACGCAGTGACTTACATGTTTATTGGTTCTCTATAACTAGAATGAATGTTTCATACTTATTTCGTCAATTAGGAATCTGAAGTCAGTTCGTGATTTTTTAACCAACTATCATCTAGCTGTACACTGAATGAAGTTGTTAAACAGCCAATCATCACACAATCTAGCAACTTCACTCTTTCAGCCATTCCGAACATCAGTCAAACGGTAAAGAATTAGATAACACAATGATAAGTGATTATTTAGATTGTTAAAAGACGTTGAATTAAGAGATAAATAATCTCTGTAATATGTTCATTTAAGTGTACCACAAAAAGCAGAAGCATGATCAACGTACATGTTGGTTTTTATCTAATGATGTTCAATATAGAAGTCATTGTATAGCAATCAACACTTTTATTACACTCAAAGTAAAACTCAATAGGTGGGTAGTTAAGGATAAGTTAACACTTTTGTAGGCTTATATCACTATCAAAGTTCTAATATAGAATTTTGCATTTGATTAGACAAAACATATTACGTCTATAGCTAAGATGAAATAGGCGAATATTTAAGAGGGAAATACAGATCTAGACCGCAAGAGGCATCATCATAAGGAATGGGTTTCTATGGAAACCCTGGACAGGATTCAAGAAAGGAAGAACAAGAAGGCAGAAATAAACAACAAGTGAACAAGAACAGAGAAAGTCAGGGAACAAGCTGAATACACTGAAGCCAACAAGCAGAAATATGTGGAGGACCTCGCAACGACAGCGTGAAAAGTTGAAAGAGAAGGAAATATGAAAGAAATATATGACAACGAAAAAACTGGCAGGGAAATGTAGTAAACCAGAGTGACCGCTCAAGGACAAAGGAGGTAAGTCAATCACCGAGATTCGAGAACAGAGAAACAGATGGGTAGAATACTTCGAGGAATTGTTGAATAGACTAGCTCTATTGAGTCCACTGGACATCGAGGCAACACTTACAGCCGTCACTTAACCAACGATAGAAATCAACAGGACCTGACGACATATCGACTGGGGTCAAACGTAGAAATAAATGCCAAAACTTGGGAGGAAGAGCAAGTGCCGACAGACTGGGAAGAAGGATATCTCATCAAGATACCAAAGAAGGGAGATCTGAGCAAACATGAGAACTACGGAGGCATCACACTACTGTTAGTACCAGGAAAGTTTTTCAACAGAGTATTGCTGAACCGGATGAAAGATTCAGTAGACGTCCAGTTTCGGGAGACACAGACTGCATTCCGCAAGGACTAATCGTGCATAGAAAAAATCACGAAACTACAGATCATTGTTGAGCAATCAACTGAATGGAATTCGTCACTATACATCGACCTCCTTGACTATGAGAAAGCGTTTGACAGTGGTTAGAAAGGCCTCATGGAACCTTGTCCGACACTACTGTGTACCCTAGAAGATCGTCAACATCATAAGGAATTCATACGACGGACCACACTGCGAATTCGTGCATGGAGAACAGCTGACAAACGCATTCCGAGTGAAGACCAGACTCAGACAAGGCTGCTTACTCTCTCCTTTTCCGGTGGTTGACCGGATTATGAAGACCTCCACATCTGAGAAGCACGGAATACGATAGACAGATTGCATGCAGCTAGATAATTTGCACTTCGCTGATGACCTAGTCTTTCTATTTCATACATATCAACAAATGCGAGACAAACAGTGTAGCAAGAGACTCTTCAGCAATAGGCCTCAACATACACAAGGCAAAAAACATCTTCAAATACAACACGGAGAACACCAGTCAAATCAATCAAACTTGATGGACAAGCTCTAGAAGAGGTGGAAACTTCGTGTACATGGACAGCATAATCGATAAACAAGAGGAATCTGATTCAGATGTATAGGCAAGGATTGGGAAAGCGAACACAGCATTCCTACAGTTGAAGAACATATGGAACTCAAAACAACTGTCTGCAAGACAACATCAAAGTCAGACTCTTCAATATGAACGTCGAAACAGTCCTGCTGTTCTGTATGGAGCTGAAACTTCGACAAGTACTACAACGGTCATCCAAAATGTACAAGCATTTATAAACAATTGTCTATGCAAAATACTCAATGTTCGTTGGCCGAAAACCATCAGCAGCAATCTACTGTGGGAAAGAACAAACCAGTTTCCAACTGTAGAGGAAATTAGGAAAATACGTTGGAAGTGTATATGCCATATATTGAGGAAATCACCAAACTGAATCACGAGGCAAACGGTAACTTGGAATCGTGAGGGGAAAAGGAAAAGAGGAAGACCAGAAAACACATTGAGCCGGGAACCGGAAGCAGACATCAAAAGAATGAATAGTAACTTGAATGGATTCTCCGGGACAGAGTTCGATGGAGAATGTTGGTGGGCGGCCTCTGATCCCCTATGAGGGGTAACAAGCGTAATTAATGGTATAATTCAAAGGTTAAAAATGGACAGCTCAGCATGAAATGTTTATCGAACTTTTTGGATTGAGAATTCGGCATAACTGACAGTCGAAATAGTAAGAACATAGCGAGGAAGTGATGAGCAACAATTGAACTAATAAAATATTTAGCACAATATCCTACGAGTGTAAAACGCAAAAGCATCTCTTTTCAAGTAAGAAATTCATAAGTAAGAGCTAGGCTCATGCATAACCGTTATTTAGGTGAGTAAAGCCGGCGAAACTACAATATATCATAATCAAAGTAAAGCCTAAGACAGATGTGCGTTAGCCCAAGTTACTTTATCACTTCAATACGACGAGATGAAATTAACAAAGGAAATTCTAAAACATTTACGATGACAGCCAATCAATCATAATGAAAACAATTGTATGAAGAAAAGGAATGAATATGAAGTATAAGAGTTAAGAAATAATATTGAAGCTCAAAACTTAAAAAAGTGGAAACACAATTAAGACAAGATCGCAGACATTTGTATCGTTATAGCTGTCGTAGTTAATAGTCATCTTACTGTGCTAACACGCTAATATTTCTTGTTTCAGTTTTTTATTTTATTATACCGCTTTTTTCGTCAATAATGTTAGATATGAGCAACTGCAGATGCCTAAAAAAACATATTGCGCTCTCTAGTTGTGTAATGAAATACAAATGTGTCTTGTGTTTAATGAACGGATTGACATTCTGATCAATCAAAGTAAACATGATAAATTTAAATATTCCAACCTGCATAAACCTTTGAGTTTGTAATGTAAAAAGCATGACACGTCTAAACCTACATAGAAAAAGATGAATAATGGGACCATACCTCACTCATAATCATATCTACAATCTTTTGGTCAAATTGTTTCAGTCGTTCATCACATACAGATGCCTCTGATTTGTTTTCTGCAATGTGGCTTGATGTTGGTTTTGATGTAGAATCTGAATCTTTTTCAAATGGTGGGACGAAGTTACCGCGAACACCTCGACTACAATATGAAATATAATACTGATTTATTATCATAAGCAAACGTCGACAAATCTAATAATAAACAATTATGATTTACCTATGTCATTCTTTGCTAGCCCATACCTATGGATGCTTCCCAGATGTGATAGAGAAGTGAACTCGACGAACGATCTACACATCTAGCTCCTAAGAAGCAGGTGAACTGGTGTATGCATATTGAATTGGTCAGTTATGACAACTTATCGTTTGATAGCATCTATTAGTATAGCTTGGAACAGGACAGTACAGATCAATTATGTAACATTTTGAAATATGTAGTAGATACAAATTATTCAGCTTCAGACTTTGACACTATTTATAAAATTCAGCCAAAGATGACAACCTATTTTATATTAGATAAACGTCAGTAATACATAATCACATTTTACTTTAATGATAAATTAACTAAATTTATTTCTTCGACTGATTACGGTGTAATGGATAAGTCAGCTTTGCAATTAGTATTTGTGTAAAACATAAAAAAATAAATCATGTGGATCCGGTAAGCAACAAATGTTAAGCTTCCAATAGATATTTATTCAGTCATAAGCAAACATAGAACCTACCACATATGTGCATTGGTTCAAGTTGCCATGTTATATCAGGAAAGCGAGATGCAACTATTAAGAAAAATAAGAGCAGAACAGGTAGTAGTAAAAAATATAGGTCATAGACATGATCCAAGAAGAAACCATTAGGATAAAAAGTATGAGATAATTTTAAAACTCAAGATCTAAGAGGAAACAAAGAGCGAATAGCTTTGCGTCATATCACTTAACATCTACGACTAGCAGTTACAAAACGAAGAGTGGATAACTATAATAGATATGGGATTAATCCTGTTTCACAGTTATACAGAATGTACTTTTGTTGTGAAGTGATGAGAAAATCCCGGATAGAAAAATAGTTACTCGAAAATGTACATAACGTTAGATATTCGAACTTACCGACTTCCTAAAGATCGTTTAGAGGAGCCATACATTAAAGATGTTCTATTATTATTTTCATTTTGTTTCGATTTTAGATTTTGTTCCAGCTTGAATAATAATAATAAGTTACAATAATGCAAAGTAAAAAATATCTCTTGGAAACAATTTATTTGTTCCTATAAACTTGGTTAGTTTAACGAGGTGACAAACCCAAAAGGTAGGCATTCATGGCATTTCGCAACTAAATATATCAAAGAAATAGGTTATGGAATTAATTTTAAAACATCTTTAGAATCCAGCTTTGTAGAAGCTCAAACCACAGGAAATATAAGTCCTCAAATATTTTCCAAATTAATCCGTTTTCATCCTCATTTTAATGTGGTAATTCTTAATTCAATTTCCATGTCAGAATTATTGTGAGAACTTGTTGTTCCTAGTGTATAATATATTCTTAATTTCACTTAAACAAATTTTGTAGGCGCATTTCGAATACTTTAAGTGGAACATTATTTTGTAAAACTGGTATTAATTGACAGCTAGATTGAAAATGGAACCTTAAGTAGTTGTATGTAAGGTGTAACAAGTCACTATGGGCTATGAAGTGCTCGGTTTGCTGAATTTGAGTCAGTTTGAAAAGACTCTAAACATACAGAGCAACGTTTATACTGACTGTTGAAGTGAATCGCATAGTCTTCCTTCATTTGATTTGCAGGATGATGTGAACCACTGGTATAAGATCCGAATTGCTGTCTTGGAAATGATTAAAATATAGTAAACTAACCTATTCAGTGTCTCGTCTATTAACATTTTTATTATTTATTTAAATATCGTACGATTTCATTGGATATTTACCTCTATGAGCTAGTTATATATCTGGGCACCTGAGTAAATGCAGTTCTATGGGAAGTTCAACTTTAATACACCATTTTTCACAAGTCTAATTAATAGTTTATCTTTATTTTATTACCACAATTCTATTGCAAACATTTATAATGATGACAACAAAAGTAAATTGTAATTTCTTACAACAATATATAAAACATGTACAAAAGTTAATGCATCACCAACGAAGATATACTTATGTGATAAAGGATGATTCCCATTGAAAATCGACACCGTACACAAGAATGTATTTACGGGATAAAAATGATTCAGTTAGTCAGTTGCAATGTCGAACCTGGTACGCATGTACATCAGTTCAAGTTGCCACACTCCACCAACAAAGAGAAATGAAATTGTCTGGTCAAATCTCAGATAACAACGACTCACTGATTAAAAATTAATTTCATAGTTTACATTACGGTCTGACTTTATTTAGACAGCCATGAAAAACCAGGAAACACTGGATAGTTATTTTGTCAATGGCACTGGGGGATGGTTGTATAATATGACAAATAAATTGAAGTCAGACATTTGAACGATTGGATGCCAACTAAGTTACATAAAGCTTAAGCGCTTGCTAAGAGACCTAAGAGTCCTAGGTTTAATCCCAACTGGGGTAGTAGATACTTATTATTGAGGAATGTCACACAGACGAAACAGCTATTTAGTGCTGCCTGGTTTCCTGTGATTGAATCTTCACAAATCCCTTTTAGCGAAAAATAATTACTCACCAAGGATCCTGCTGTTTGAAAAAGGGTTGACTCAGATTCAGTTACTTCGGTGTTATGGTTGGTATTACTGGAATTCTACAGAAAATGATAAATTGACAATCAAATTAAGTCTAATTTACTTTGTAGTAGCTGGTACTTTCTGATTTTTCTAAATGTCTTTTAGGACAAGAATAATGTTTTTCGAAATCTACTGAAGAACGTTTTTGACCAACAGAAGAAAAATGTACATTTGTGTTTTTAACTGATTCGTAAACCTGTTAGTACCAAAAATGAATTAAAATTATTTCTTGTAGTACGGTAAATTATGAAATATATATATATATATATATATATATATATATATATATATATATATATATATAATATTATATTAACAGCTATGAATACAACCATATTGTTTACCGTAATAATATATTGATGACAAAGTATATTTGTGTTATTCTTTCTACATGAGTATTACTTCAGAATAATCGTAAAATATTTACAGTAAACAAATAAGAATGGCGTTGGGAAGTTGTGAGAAATGAAGTTGAAATTCAAAGAATCTTCGGATGTAAATGAAACAGCAGATTCATGGGAGCAAGGAGAGAAAGAAACCATATTAATACATAGGACAAAGAATACGACGATACATGACTTGTTTACGTTGAATTCCTCTTAAGTAAAAGTCGAAAGATAGATATTCGTAAACTAATTATAAGGTTCCAGATAATAGGTCCTTTTAGCTGACAAATTTGAAGTAAATATAAGTCAATACGACATAGAATTTCAGGAATATTTCACAGTTGAGATGGGTAGTTATCGACAGGAAACTGTGTTTCATCACAATTATATCGTTATTTTTTTCCAGATGGTCGTAAAGAGATCAAGTTTTTGAGAAATCGCACGAATAAAATACACACTTCAGCTTATCAATTAAGCTAAACTGCTGTAGATCAATTAATGAAGCATGATAAATCAAAAATGAGACTTACTGATTACTAATTTTTAAAACCAGCTGTATAATTTAAGCAACCAACTAATCCCACTTATTCAGATATATTCTAGATCTATTAGCACCAAATACACATTTAATATGAGTAATAAACTAACTATGTACTAAGACGATGATTTTATATTTAAGTAGTACATTGGCTTAACTAAGTCAGATGCTGCAAAAAAGCCAAACGTAGATGCAAGATACCAAGCGATTGTAGAATCAACTACATGTTCATTATATTCCTGGATTCACTACTTGGATGCCCGAACGATTCAGTCATTATCCATCAGCTGATAATCACATACAAGATGCAACATAAAAGTTGATATAGCTCTGGATCAGGAAGAAGGAAGAGCAGCTGGTCCAGATGGATACGTTCCAGAGGTCTCTAAGGATGGCGGTCCAATTTTAGCGACTACGTTGACTAATATTTTAGCTAAAATCTGGGAGTTGGGCGTAATCCCATCTGACTGGTCACAATCATTGATTGTCCCAATATATAAGAAGGGGTTAAACCATCTTGTGTTGACTATAGAGGGATTAGCTTGACTAAAATAGCATCTAAAATACTGGACTTAATAATTATCGGGAGCATAACAAAGATGCGTGAACTGCAAACACGAGAAAATCAGGCTGGCTTCAAAACTGGTTGTGGCTTCACCGACCACATATTCACCATTCATTAGGTTCTAAAACACAGATATACTTATCGGCATCCAACAATGATAGTTTTTCTTGGCTTGAAAGTAGCATTTGACTCTGTAAACCGAGAGGTTCCATGGCAGTGTCTGTCACTGAAAGGTGTACCTCAGAAGTACATAAACCTTGTGAAGGCTCTCTACTTGAACACTACCAGTCGAGTCAGAGTTTATGGCGAGCTGTCATCTGATTTCGCAACCTCAAGTGGTGTCCGTCAAGGCTGTTCATTATCTCCATTTTCGTTCAATATCTTCATATATCTACTGCTAGAAACAAAGTTCTTGTTGTCTGAATCTTCAGAAATTGGTCTCTTTCCAGGAGGTCCACTTATCGATTTAGAATACGCAGATGATATAGTCCTGTTTAGTGACGACTGATAAAATACAGTCTTTTGGTAGCACTGAGCAACAATACCAGGATGTTTGGGATGCGGTTCTCCCCCTCTAAATGCAAGTTGTTGCTTCAGGACTAGCTTGCATCAACATCTGAACCAAGGTTAGGGAGTAAAGTAGTTGAACGCGTTGACAACCTCACTTATCTTGGAAGTCTGATAAGCCCTAATGGGTTGGTGTCTGACGCAATCTGAGCACGGATTCAGAAAGCACGCTTGGATTTTTCCAACTTACGTCACTTATGGCGAAGGCGAGATATCTGTTTACCAATAAAAGGACGAGTATACTGCGCGGCAGTCCGTTCTGTTTAAATTTACAGCAGCGAAACATGGCCATTAAGAGTAGAAGACACTCGTAAGCCACTAGTATTTGACCACAAATGCCTTAGAAATATTGCTGGCGTCTGCTGGGATCACCGGGTAAGTAATAGTGAGGTTAGACGTAGGGTATTAGGGAACGATAGTAAATCAGTCGATGAGGTTGTGAATCTTCATCGACTGAGATGGTTGGGCCACGTGTTACGTATGCCCGAACATCGATTACCACGACGTGCAATGCTAACCGGTGTTCGGGATGGTTGGAAGAAAGATAGGGGCGGCCAAACCAAAATGTGGCATCAGTGCTTGAAGTCACTAGCTTCTAGTCTGAGCCATGTTGGTAGATGCAGACTACTTGGTTAGGGTCCGCGTGACGATCGTAACCAATGGTTGGAGACTCTTGGTGACATGGCTCAGAATCGATCACAACGGCGTAGGTGTATACACTCTCTGACTTCCCTTAAACTGAGACTACACTTGCTTTATACCTTTCTTTATATCAACTGATTCTTTCTTCCTGGACTATATCCATATACACAATCTTTCTTTTATATATTACTACCATTGAAGTAACTGCTTTTGAGAATTCGGTTTTCATCTTGTTGTGCAAATGAGGTGGCAACTTGGCTCGGTGCATATATGTGCCTGGTCCTACGTTGTAGCTGACTGACTGAACTTGATTTTTAGTCGTTGAATAACAATCCTTTGCAAAGACAAAGGTTGTTAAAGAACTTTACAAGCTCAAATATCACAAATCACCATGTCAACCAACTCGCACCCTGTTGAAGGATTGCCGAAAACTATGGTGAGAGGACTAACTAGATAGTTTGGGAAAATCTGAGATACGGAGAGCTTTCCATTATATTGAAGTGAAGCGACCGTTTTTCCGATATGTAAAATAGACTTATGCACTTTATGCAACAATCATCACGGTACAAGCCTGTTCTATATTGTTTTGGGGCCTTTGGCATCCATTATGTTAAGAAGATTGAAAAGTTATTCCAACTATTCCAACAGAAACAGGACAATTTTCTCTCAGATATTAGGAACACTGACTATATCTTCACGCTGCGACACCTCTACACTTACTGTAGGCCAATAACATTTTTTCGATATCAAAGCTAACTAGTTTGACAGAACGCCCTGTGATCGTCTATTGAAGAAGAATATGCCTGATAATCTTATTAACATCTTTAAGAATATAAATGAACACAATGATTTTATTCTCTTATTCTAATCTAACAGTAAGGTTAAACGGGGTCGCTCAATCTCACCACTTTTCTTTAATTTTCCCACTAATAATATTCTGAAAACAGCTCTTAAAGAAGTACGTGATGATGATGATGTGAATCCATTGGATAGAGAAAGACACTTCGAACTCTAAAATACAAATGACATTGTTTTACTGTGCGGTGATACACAAGTTATCCAATTACTGTTCGTAAGTGACGTGCGTTGCATGTTGACATCTCAAAGTATTTCTGTAAGCCTGCTCTTGCACGCATCTTTTGTGATTAACTGTTGGGATCAGTGGAAAACCTTGTGTCCGGGTGGCTATATGAGTACTGTTAGTTACGTAATAGATTAGATCAATCTATTAGGAGTTCGAGCACCTATGCCCATCTACGTCATTTTTGGTGCCATCTTGATACTAATCTGACTGTAAAGGTACGGTATAAATAAACAGATATGAAGGGGTGTGCAACGGGATTAGAGAGTGGTTGAATGTTGCACAACTCTTCATATGGGCAATTATACTTGTACTAGTAGTCTATTGCTTATATTTTAGATGAGAAATGAATTTGTTACCTGGTTAGAATAACCTTCTTCCTCGAACAGTTCAGTTAACACGCTACAAACTAATAACAGTTAATTCTGAAAAATGAGTAACATACACTTAGTAACATCAAAGTCACTAGGTAATGATTGATTTGGGAAGGGACAGGATTGTTTGACAGTCTATAGTGAACGGTGAGAACAAGCAAAGCTTACAACTCCTTCAAGTGCATTTAAGGCCATGTCGACTGTCATCGCGCTACGCCAGTGGTTGCTCTCTGAAAACGCATATATAAAAAGAACATGACAAACCATTTTTACAGCCTTCAGCGAGCCTGAGTGCTCCCTCAGCGTAATTATTAATCCCTACAAATCAGAAAGCACCATTCATTACCTACCATTCTTCATGTTATCAACCAATTCAGCATATTCACTAAGAAGCAAGTCACTATCAAAAGCATTACGTCTAAGAATGTAAAATCCAGTCATTAAAAAACCTTCCAGGAAGCTGTGAGAAAAGTATTCTCCGTATATATTCAGCTCTATTTTCTTTATTTACTTCAGACATTATTGGAGTAGGACACTGGAAGAATTTAACTGATGACTGTTAATGACACAAAAATTCGTCCAATCCAATAATATTATGATCAAGAAGCAAATTGAAGCATCTGAAAGCAAACAAAAGAATAGTAAAATGGATTTAGCCAACAGCGATTAGGGTATATCGTTCATTATCCCAAACAACACTCGTGATGGTATAAGATTATGCGACTCGCGGACACTCATCCACAGTATTTAACAACCAACAACCTCAAGAAACTAATAACAAGTAAAACATTGAAACCTCGTCATTGTATCACTACGGTAAACTAGTATAGCCATCATATTTGCTGAGATGTCCCAATAGAAATAATGAAAACTTATGGGATGGTGAAGATTTGTAGCTCAGGTGGATGATTTTGATGGAGTTTTGTCCTCTGAGCAAGATGGTTTGGTCGTGGAGTTTTCATCGTTCTACTGAACGAAAATAGCTGAGCAAAGTGGAAGAAGAATGGTACACCTAATGATAACGAATACACACTACAGGATCCGCAAATACCAACACGTCATAGAGGACCAAAAGATGAAGTTACAAAGGACACTCACGTCAGAACATTTGGAAATCTTGACAATAGCCATCGAGATATCATGCAAACGACACAGAGAACAAAGAAGAAACACCTTAAAGAAAAAACTAACCAAGATATTAAAACCACTAATGGAAGAAAACACAAACAATTGCGTGATCAATCTATCAAAACAACCACTAACAAATACAGAAGAACACCTACTCCGAAAGAGATTAAACTACAATACAAGCAACGCCTCAAAACTGGGATTCTTCACAGCACTAGTCATCACTCAAAACTTCCGGAATTAGTGAAGAAACACAACAAGAAATAAGGCAAACTATAGTACCGCTAACTCAACAGGTGAAGGAGAACAACCAACTGACCCCACAAGAACTAAAAGCTTTGAAGGAACTCAGAACTAGAAAGGATATTGTCATAGTTCCAGCGGACAAAGGACGCACCACAGTAATTATGGACAAAGAAGAATACGTCAAAAAGTCCGAGGAATTACTTGAAGATAAGAACACATATAAACTGATGAATATAAATCCCGTCAAAAATTAGACAACCGAATCTCAAAGACCTTAAACAAGCTAGTCAAATCAGGAGAAATAACAAAACAAGTCCAATGGAGAATGAAATCCAATGGACCAGTACAAAACTGGTGATGTCGTTCAGAAGAACGATGAAAGCTCCACGACCAAACCATCCAGCTCAGATAACAAAACTCTATCAAAATGAAAACTTATTCATACGTTTCATATCTTCGATTCCTAAGTGACAAAATTGGTGATTACAAAGTAGCACAAGCCTATCATGTGACATACCTATCAATAACTAGGCAATTAGATTGCTGGCAATCTAAAGTCTGATCATTTTTGAAATAGCATTTCAAGTTTGGGTTTAGATGAACAGAATTATAAGATTTATTTTATTTCCCAAGTTACTAACATGTAAATAATTCAGACCTACTTTGTTTTAGGAGCAGTTGGATCCCTAACGTTGTATATGTTTCTCAGGATTTTTATATTTATTTCTATATGGTTTGTAGATTTTGTAAGACAATTAACTTCATAAACCAATCTGTTTTGCAAAAATCTAATCCGAAAGTGTGATACCGAGAATTCTCTCCATTTTATGGATATAAATGGGATTAAAAAGGCTATATTCCTCTCTATTCTCTTAGGTTTCATGGGTCTCAACTATTTGACAATATCGAAAAGCCTAAGACCGGTGAGCTCATTGATTGCAATTTCTCTCTCAACAGTTATGTCAGTACTATTACGACTACAAAATGCTTAACTGGACTAACTTGGTATTGAAAACCCTAAACCCAACGATGCACAGATAGATTTTTAAAAATTGCAATCAGTAATATTTAACATATTTGCCATATTATACAACTATTTCGCATTTATGGTTTGAAGAACTTTCGGGAGGTTAAAAGCCAAAATCAGAAACATCAGTTCTGGGGACCGAAACCACTGCGACAACCCACTAAAGCCTGATTACCAAGGAAATTTGTAGCCGCAGAAATCCTACCTCATAAGTTTTTCTCTAACTTAAAATCTACACAGTTCTAATGTATCGTTTACATTAAGTATACTTTATGTGGACGATGTCATAGTGATGACTACCGTCCAAGAATTTTCTAAGACAGCTACCTCGGAATTTATCCGAAACAGACAATTTTCCACAAAATAAGGAGATTAATCTCTTTATTTTGTGGATCCAATATCCATGGATTCATATTTATTGGCCATTGACCACTACGGTTAATTGTTCTGAATGCATCAAAAACTGACATAACTTAAAAAACAAGACGCGAAAAAGTAGTTCCTATTGTTGAGAGACGTGAAGACTGAGAAGAACCAACACACAGTATCTAACCTATGCAGCAACCTCAAGGTCACACTGAGCGATTCCAAATAACGAGGCGTTTGACAAGTCTTTCAAATTTCGTTAAACAAAAAGAAGATCAAAGGACTCGAGATTCAAGTTAACCTTCCGAATTTCTAAAGGTATTGTTATTTCGGGATTCCAACTGAAAAATCTTCGTTTTAAATCAATTGCCTAACTGGACAGTTATTAATGTCTTTAGTTGTAAGGAAAGGTTTATAGAGCTGTATTATTCTTTGTGATTTGTAACACTGTGAACGTCCAATCTCGCTTTGAATGTTTCAATACCACCATAATTAAGGTGAATGAGATGCAAATGGTTACACAGTTCATTTTTACATATAACTCCGGTATGGGTAATTAGATTACTAACATGACCACAACTCATAAACAATTAGAAAAGAAAGTTAGTGTCCACTCGTCAGCATGACCGAAAGCAAAATATGCCCATGTAGTACATGCTTGCTGTTATTAAGAATCGACCATCTATTGATGATTTTGTCTTCCAGATTAAACGTTATTTATCTCCACAAATTATCTCGTATAATATTTTATTACTTTATTACTTTAGCTGAGTTTCGTGGCCAGAATGGAGATATTAGTGTTAGAAATTTGTGTTTTAGGTTGGATTGCTCGTTCATCTTTTCCGCCACGTATTCGGCCTGAATTACTTTGGATTTATACCGAGTCAGTCTGTAATGCGATAGGAATTCAAGGATTAACTCATCAATACTTGTTATTTGATTCTAGTTCTTCTAGGGTTGTGTCGTATCATACACTGAGAGCTTCAAATCCCCATCAGGTTACTATGAAGGACTCACTACGTTAGTAGTTTACTTGATACCATGCTAATTGCTTCAACCTACAGTTTACAAACAGCTACCAATATCCACGTTCATCACCACCATAATTAAGGACTTGGATTATATGTAAAAGTTCTTAACACTCATTCTTCCATAAAAATCTGATTATGGTCTATTTATGACTTGGTAAACGGTTAATTTTCACTAGCCTGAATTAGTAATGTTACAAATAACCACATTAAGCTTACTAAACATTCACACAGTTTGTCAGCAATAAATATGTTAAACTACTAATAAGCTACAATAAATGTCATGTAATAAGCAAAAACATTACGAAAATTAACGTGAGATGGAAAGAAAAATGTTTTACCTGTAAATAACGACATCCAAAAATCCTAGATGATATGTTACATGTGCGCGAAAACCCACTGCGTAACAGCCTGCCGTGCCTTTCAACAGAAGGTTATGATATTAAATGCTCTGGTAGAGAATTCCAGTAATTCTCTGCTGAGTGCGAGAAACGGAACTCCAGATGTAAACGATTGGATCTGTTTTTAGACTTTCCTAGAATGAAATGACTTGCGAATAAGAACATGAAGCTCTGCAGTTACTCGTAGTTTCGAGTTCGCCACTTATTTGACTCCTAGATCTTTGCAGTCCATTAACTAAGGTAACAAAACTCCACATTCTGTGTAGTGATATGAATAGTCCCAGTTATTATATTGCATCACTCTAACCTTGTTAGAGTTAACTTTTAATGACCACCTGCTCATCCATGCAGTCAGTGAAATAGGGTCATCCTGTGATGCCATTCTATCTGACTTACTTTCTATGAGTCTTCCAGTCTTTATATCATCGGCGAAGTGTAGAACGGATGACACTGTTACAGCTGGTAATTCACTTACATAAATAAACAAATAAAGGTGACCAACGATTTTACCCTGGGGAACTCCATCTTTTTCAGGCTTTCATGCCGAGAGATCTCCATTCGCTCTTACATGCTGTCTCTTATCATTGAGATAGCCACTTATCTAGTTTATGATTAGAGACATTGTCAAAGGCTTTACTTACACCTGTGAAGATTACATCTACAGAAATATTTCTATCTTTCGCCGAAGCCTAGTTGTTTATTGCAGCTGGCAGTTCGTCGTGCATGATACGACTTTCATAAAACCGTATTGCTCCACGGATAAAAGATTCTGCCCCCCGCATAGTTTAAAAAATAACCAATTGACTAGTCGTTCCAATTAGTTTGACAACTACATGGGTCAGACTAACAGGTCGGTAGTTACTAAATAAGTCTCTGCTTCCCGTCTTGTACACCGGACTAATTATTGTGTCTTTCCAGTCTCTTGGCGATCTAGACAGCCGCAAAGCATACCAAACAGTATGGCCAGAGGTTTAGCAAATACATTCAACATGGCTTTCATATTTAATAATAATAATAATAATTTATTTTCAAATAACAGTTTGTTACATGAGGCATGCTAGTTTACAGGCAAGATCAAATTGATACAAATGATACAAGATCCACTGTATTAAATTACATAGCTGGGCTGATAATTTATAAGATATGAATGTAGATGGTTTTAATCAGTACTCCAGTTGGCGCGCTTCATGAAAGTTGCGTTGCAAATGTGCAACTGATGGTCAAGAATAGGTCCATTGAAGGTGGGAGCTTCTAAATGTCGCAACCTTATGTCGCTTTGGAATGTTCAAGGCTTTGAGGATGGTGCAGGATGAAATCTTCCGTTTGAGTTGCTCTGCACCCGAGGTTGTTCGAATATGTAGTTAAAAATCGTTAGAAAGGAAATGGATGGCGAAACGGATAAGACACCGAGACTTCGAAGTTTCCCCAAATCGGTTTTCGTGAATCCTATGATGTTCCACAATTTGGAAAATGAATACTAGCTTAAAAAATGCTCTTCACACCCTGAATACGGACTACTTAAGCTTTCTGAAGGTGAACAATCGCGTTCCATAAGCTCTTCTTCTCCACAAATTTTACGGGAGTTTCATATTTTGTTGGCTGAATGGAGATCAGAAGCTCGTGAACTTGTGGCGTGTATGAAAGAGAAAGAAAGACAATCTGTTTTGGCTTCTGTTGGTATTCAGGCGTTTTCTGAGGATGCTCTGTCTCAAAAGAACAAGGACATGCCCGGTGACCTCAAAATAAAAAAAATGTCACAAAGAAACCTTTCTACTTCTGCTGTGTCGTGAAGGAATTCAAGCTTTGTTTCTGGTATGCGTAAATGTAAATCAACTCAATTAATTCGTGGCAATCGATCTTCAAAATTCAGTCGTCCATCCAATTATCCTCCGAATTCATCATGGTCGCCAAAACATTGTTACAATAACTCATTACTAAAACGGCGTGATGTAAACAAACCATCCATTCCAGCTGAAAATCTGAAAAGGACCACACATACTGACAACAAATCCCAATATCTAGATGAAGACGATGATGAGGAAGAAGACCAGTTGACTACTATAGTTTCTCGCCAACGTCAAGCATTCTCTGCGCGTGCTGCTGCCGGTCGTCTAAGTATACGTAAAATACAGTCAGATCTTCAAGTCAAATCTGGTGATGCCGTCTTAAGCACAGTCTCTAGTGTTCCAGGAGCTAGGAGACTTTCAGCTAAAGTGTTACGTGCGTGGAAATCTTTGGCTAAAAAGATAATTTGTGAGGCGGCAAGGCAACGTGGTACTAATTGTCGAGATAAGATAATCCTAGCAAAACGCGCTGCTCGTGAGTGCGCACGTTTGTTACGTCAAAAGGTATTGCTTTCCCAAAAAGCTGCTAGAGATTCAATAAGTCGTGGACATCGTCTGTCACGCGAAATTGCATCTAACTGGTGTAGCTCAACTTCGAGTACAGCTAATGGTTCGGGTCCACTTACAATCAATGGTGTAACTATACCATCCAATTCTAATATTACTCATTTCTCTTCACTTATGGATTTACCTGATTACTACACTTCTGCCCGCCCAGAAAGTGGAGGTTTAGAGTTGAACATGTCTACTTCAGTGATGGAATCAAGTACAGCTATACGTCGACGAGCAGAGAAGGCTTCAGCTGAACAACGTAAAGCCAACTTAAAACTTTTGGAGGCAAGGAGACAACAACGAAAACTGAATTTCTTGATTACACAAACAGAATTATATGCCCATTTCATGGCGAAAAAGATGGCGGATGTCAACTCATGTAATTGTAAATCTGAAGATACACGTGGTCCTGAAAATGCTGAATCAGTATCTGGTAATGTGATTCAAGAAGACGACAGTCAAGAAATCGAAGCTCAAAGAATTTTACGTCGACTTGAAGAAATGAATGATGATTCTGTAGAAACAAAAACTAACGATGAAGGAATTGATACTGGTTCTGACATATCTGTTCCATGTGATCCCATTCAGAATGATCAAGATTCTGTTGGTATATCGACTGGATCTACACACCGAAAATCATACAGCTCAATAGCTGTAGCTGCAAAAGCTGCAGTTTGTCGGTCGGGTATTAATGTCTAAGAAGAATATGATATTGAACAAGCGAAATCCGAAGCTTTAATGAAGGTCAAAGCAGCTGTTACAACTGAAAGTAGTCGTGTATCACAGTTTCATAGTGGAACTGCAACAAGTCCCAATTTAAACGCCCCCGTTCATAATAATACAGATTCTAGTACAACTACACAAATTGAAACACCAAAGTTATTTAAAGGTCAGTTAAAAGCTTACCAGGTCCGTGGTTTGAACTGGCTGCTTGGTTTGTTCGAGCAAGGTATCAATGGGATATTAGCTGATGAAATGAGCCTAGGGAAAACTGTGCAAACAGTTGCATTTCTTGGTGGCCTGGCGTAAAATTACAACATTTGGGGTCCATTTTAAATCGTTACTCCAGCTTCAACACTGCATAATTGGACACAGGAATTCGCTAAATTCCTTCCAGCTTTTCGTCTAGTCCCATATTGGGGTACATCAACAGAGCGTGAAGTTCTACGCCGATCTTGGTCATTTACACGTTTCTCTAATGCCGAATCTTTTGATGAATCTGGTGATATTAATCCTGGACAAGCTGGAACTAAGGATTCTCAACTTCAATTAGTTATCAAGTTGTTTTGCAAGATGCGAAATTCATTAATAAAACCGCATGGTCCTACATTATTTTAGATGAAGCACATGCTATTAAAAGCACATCAAGCTTACGATGGAAAATTCTGTTATCTTTTAAATGTCGAAATCGTCTTTTACTCACTGGAACTTCAATTCAGAATACAATGCAAGAATTATGGGTATTATTACATTTTATTATGCCTACATTGTTTGATTCACATGATGAATTTGCTAATTGGTTTTTACGTGATACTGAGTCTCAAGCCAGTGTTACAGCTAGAACTGGCTGTGGGGGAGCAGCGGGAGGAGGAAGTATCATTAGTAGCAGTGGAACTGGATGTTTAATAACTTCAAAATTGAGTGAAAATCAATTGTCACGTTTAAATTTAATTTTAAAATCATTCATGTTACGTAGGATAAAAACTGAAGTTGAACATGAAATATCTACTACGACTGAGATTATGTTATATTGTCCATTAAGTCATCGACAACAAATATTATATGAACGATTACGTAGTAAGATTCGTCTTTAAGATCTTAGCTCCATCATGTCTGCGAATGGAATATCAGATAGTTTTTCATCGAATTTGGATAATACTAATGCATTGTCATCGTCTTCGTCAGCTACAGCCCATTTAATTAATTTAGTGATGCAGGACCACTGAAATTATCTGGTTTGAAATATGGAAAGAGTCATAAGACGGTTCCCTTCTCAATAAACCCAGGATTCATCGGCAATTTGTCATGATCACGACTAATTATTGCTCGTTCACCACCGCCCTAACAAAGTGTGATAACTAGGAGTATTTGAATTGTGGTACAGACTAGGGATCCCAGAAACATTGCAATTTTGTCAAAAATTATTAGATATATACGAACGAATGCATTGTCTTTGGAGTTCAAAATCAAGCATTCCACAAATACAAAGGAATCATTAGTTTGTAGCGTGGCGTCGAGTCGAGATTAACTAACCAAGAAACACGTGCAAAGTAAATCAGAAGGCGAAGGTTGAACGTAACCAGATTTATTTGGTTGGCGATTTCGTGGTATTAAACGAATACCAAGATCGTGCCAAGGAATGGTACAAGTGGAAGCAGGAGAAAGGAGTACGTGCAAACAGTACCAAATACCGCGGAACAATGATAGAAGGTAATGGAAGCACAAAATGGCTATAATTAGCACAGTTAAACAAAAGCACATTAAAACAAACACTGGTACAGTTGGTTATAATCATAATTGTTTTTATTAAGCCAGTCGTGTTCTCGTGATAAATGTGAGTCACTACAAGTTCATACAAGCACCACACAAACTCTTTACTAAAATGTTTTGGTAAAGCTTCAGCATTTGTGACATCATATCTTGCCAACATAATCAGATTTTCCTGCGCCAAATGTGATGGGATTCTTTACCTCATCTGAGAATGACTTTCTCGGATTGTTTTCACAATTATTTTTCATTTTTGTCTTGCTGATCAATGCTTTACAAGCATTCCTATTTTGCAATAAATTAATCTTTACTGTTCTGAACATGTAGATGTGAACGTATTCCAGTACTTTTTCCTACATCCAAGTTTCTTGACTAGCTTAGTTATTCATGGTGGACCTTTTTTAAACCTACATGGTACTAAGAGTGATATAAAACGGGGCGTTACTAGATTAAGCCCAACTTTAGATAGAGATCACGTCTCTTAAACTGATGAGTAAGTGTTTACTGACCAGCATATTGTTACAGCTCACTCCTGAATGGTTGATAGGTTTCTCTCCACGTATTCAGGCGAGGTTTAACCTGATCGTATATTGTGTCACACTTTTTCAACGTGATTGACAAAACAGCATGGTCGCTATTTGCTAACGGTTGGAGAACATTTAGATAGACAATGCAATCGATCACATGAGTGATTATCCATTCTAACAAAGATCTTTAGTTTGAAACAACTTTTGGGTTCGAATACATGCTGTACTAAAGCATAATCAATTACCTTTATCAGAAACCTATCATCGAAGGATTTTACAGATCCTACGGTGTCCATGTCAGTCTCACTAATGCCAGGTGCATTAAATATTCCGTTATCAGGCATCCATTATTTTTAATCCATAGCTGTGTGCTCTAAAACAAAGTCATCAGCTAAGCAGATCGGGTTACGATAGATGACGTCAAATACAGGTGTGCAGTATTCAAAAGTGAGTCCACAGTTAATGTTTTCTTAAGTTCCACTATCATTTGGTTCACAAACAAAGGAACGGATGCTTATATTATTATCTATGTATGTTGGGACTACACCGTACTTTATGGATCTTTTCCTAACACTTCATAGGTAGATGTATCCGGATAACTCTGGAGTAACGTCGAAGCCATGGACTAACCAATTTCCAGTCATAGTCGGGATGACTAGCTTTAAACCATACATCTAGTTCATATAATTTATTTCTTAGAATATGAGAATTGTGGTGGTCGGTATTCGATATAATCATTAAACTTCGTATACAGTTCGTCTTGATAACCGTTCTATATAACGTCCCAACGGTTTATTAACCAGGAGGCAAATACGAAGTGTTGATTACGTTTATTACGAGACCACACACATATATCCAAATGTACAGATGCGTTAAACAAGCATAGAAGAGTTGTGCCGAAAGGCAAGCAAGCGAGCGAGAGCCAGAGCAAGAGCGAGACGAGAGTGTGTGAGTACGAATAACATGGACATATATATAGCATGTGAAATGAATGAGTAATCGAATCAAATAATCAGTTAGTAGTAAGACTAGCAGAGTGAATAAATGCGTAGGCCGTAAGCAATATTCAAGCATGCGTATTTCATACAAGCACAAAATAATATGGGTACAATAAGTTGTTATAGTGCGGATGACTTTGTCCGCTAAATGAGTTAGCAAAAGGGCTTAACTGCGTTAGATGAGACTAAACTCATTTGCACGTGAGTCGCTATAGAATTTGCAGATAAAACTTTTAAATAGAACGACCTATCCATTCAGACCTTGATAACAATCGCTTCCACTACTTGACTACTCAGAAATCCATTAAGCGGAGATTTTCTTCACCATTTTTTGACAGGTTTCTAGTTTAGCTAGTGTCGCCTTCTTTTTTATTCTATCTTCTAGAGAAATATGAGGTCTTATTCAAATGTTGATATTATCGTGACTCCGTTGTTTCTCCAACACCAGGATTGCTTTAAGGAGTCTGTGTGGTCGGATTTCAATAATTCCATCGGTCCGCTTACCTACTCTTACTAACTTCACGACCTAAACTCCTGTAGGGTTATCTGGCAATATGCTGCGAAAAAATTCCCCAACCATTTTTCATATCATCAGAATGTCTAAGTTTTTGGATAAGAGTCATTTGATTCTAGCAAATTACTTGCAGTAATTTTCGATGAGATTAATCTTTCGTCATATAGAGCTTATTAGAACTCGTTTATCCGTTTATATATTGGAGGCCCATCATCGTCCTTTATTTTCGTACTTCAGACTGTTATCTACGAACAACCATTATTGCACTATCGCTTGAAATATAACCATTGATTGTCTATAAGTTCATTTATTACTCAACGGCCATTAAAATAAAGAAAATAATGAATGGAAAGAAATTTTTTCATTAAAAGAACTGAAACAGGCTAAAATCAATATGAATTATTCTACACAATTTAACGGCTAAGTGATCGTTCTAACCGATGTAGTTATTATTTTAGCTTCGGGTGTATCATGTGACAGGAAGTTTGTAGACTGTAGTTCTGTAGTACTTTCTGCACTGATACAGGCATGAAACTATTTATATTTATTAACTGTAGAATAATCCTAACAACATTTGTTTTTTCCATCAGTGATAACAGTCCCCAACCTTTTGGCTTTAATAATAGTTAAATTTTTATTATTCCTGCTGAATACTTGTTGCTGATGGCATTTTATCAGTTGTCTAAGTAATTTTAAGCACCGGAACAATCCACTTGTCACTTGTGGCTTATACATTACCTCACTTCAATCTGTCAGATAAGAAAGATCTTCCTGGTGAGATTTCGTTTGTTCCTTAACTGTACTAATTAAGTGGTATAGCTTAGTCATTAGGTCAGAGTGATACAGGCTTTTGAGTCATTAAGTTGTGTGATGTTAACCAATTATCACATTGTCAATATGGTAGCGCAATAATAGCTCAACTAAATATGGAAAGTATTAATTGAAGGACATAAGTATTCTCACGATATTGGCTCTAGTCAATATCTACAAAGAGATATCTTACTTCAAAAACGTGTATAATATGTCGTTTTACCATTAATTTAGCAATGTCTTGTGTCGATTGATAGAATATATGGTGAACAAGCAATAGTCGAAATACGTCTTTTTAGGCCCGTATGACAATATTACTATAATATAAACTTACGAAAATGGATAATATACTAATAAATTCTTTGTATGTTATGAATCAATGAAAAGCAGTTTCGTGTATATTGAAAGATGGTATGAGAATAAGGTACATAATGACTTATTTTTATATTCCTATATTTAGGATTTTTACAAATGAATACTTGAGGCATTACAAAGTTCGGAAATTCGTGAAAAGTATGCTTAGTAAACAAAATAACGAGGATTAAGTTTAGGAGATAAATGAAAAACATTTACTATCCCCGTAGTTCAAAATAAAAAGTGACCTTCTTTGGTGCATATATGCATGTGTAATGTGCTAAACGTATGGTTTCTTCAGATAGGATGAAAATATTTATTTGAAACAAGGAAACTGCCTTCTAAGCGTTTTAGGAATTGAGGGACAATATTATTACACATCGGGTAGTTGTGAATGTTGAGAAAGTTTATACACTGAGCCAAAAGTGACCAATCAAATGAATTTAGTTTTCGATTGGCTTAACAAATAAGATCTATATTTGAAATAATAAAAGTACTATTCACGTTAGTATCTTTTTACAATTACTCACAAGGATATGTCTATAAATAATTATACAAGTGGATGGTCTTCATTTTCAATATTACCACATGTAGTTCACCCAATACTTCACATGAGTTCAGTTAGGAAGCATAGTAAACGTTGGAATAAACAATCAGAGGACAAGATTTATGAAGATGACGGTGATGATGGTAATGAAGAACATATAACAGACATTTTATTAACATTTGTGTTGGCTGTTGATTCTGAAACGCTGTTAAATAGAGAATCTACTATCACACGACCAAAGTCAGTTAACTCAAGCTCATCTAGTTTATCTAACGGACATAACAATTTTATGTATTTTCATCTAGAATACTCAATAATGAATAAAGAAGATTTTTTATTTTCTACAGATGTGGTAGTATTTTCAAAATCCATTGCTAAAATTTACCCAACCAACTGTTCATCAAAACTAATAAATCCCTGTGAATTTAACGACACTTTATGGATTGTATGGACTGAACAAATACCAATAGTGATTACGGATGAAATAATTATTGACTTTTGGAACTTAACACAAACTGGTGGCATACATGTTAAATGTTGGGATCAACGAGAAAAGTGTTCAATTCAGACAAGATTT